TTTCATTTCAAGGGCTATAAAGCAAAGAAACAAAAATATTTTAAGAGTAGATTTTGAATTTTGATTCAAAACCTCAATCATCATAATTTCTTCTTAAACTATCATAGGTTTTATTAATCTTTATAATTATTGACATCTCATAATTAATAATAAATCATAACTCTTTCATTTATCTTACAAATCTTTATATTTGGAAGATTATGTTTAATTTATCATATAAATTTAAGTAATAGTTTTGACATATTTCAGTTCCACTAGGAACTTTTATAGCAAAGCTTTTATTAATATTTGTTTTAATGAATCTTTTATTTAAATTTTTTCCCTTGGTATACGTCTCCTTCATGGGCTTATGGAAATTTAATATTTAGGCATTTTTTGTATATTTTTTAGAGTCTTTATGTACCAATTTTTTTGCGGAATCCCAATATTTCTTTTCACAAACTTTTAAATCTAAATTTGTAATTTTAATTTTTTATTTAATTTTTATTAATGATTGATTACTTAATTTTTTAGCTTCTTAGCAATAAAAGTGTATTACAAAGCATTTAATATAAATACATTTCAGTTATGTCTTTTTTTTAAATTATAACATTGATCAATTGTGTATATACTTTATATTTATAAAAGATTTATTATTTTTAAATTTAAGAATACAATTATAAAAGATGAATAATTAATTATTATTTAAATATTTATTAAATTAAATATATTATTTTTAATATTTAAAGAATCTTATGGAGATAATTAGTTTAGCAGACATTGAAAATATATTTCTCAAGAATAGCAACATAAATGAATTAATTAATGAAATCAAATTTGATAACTACATTGATAAGGAAGAATTGATTACGTTTCTAATTGAAAAATATTCTGAATCTATTGAAAAAGAAAAAAATATTTTCTATAGTGAATTATTGCTTAAGCTTTTGCCAGCAAATCTTACAGTTAAAAATAGAGATAAATTGTTTTATACTTGCACAAAATTCCTACATAATTTTGATGTATCCTTAGCAAACCAGGCTCAAAAAATAAGTACCAATATTAATCCTAATAAAGCTAGGAAGACAGAGGAAGAAAAAACAGATGAATTAGAAGTAAGAAATGAAATTAAGTTTATTAAAGAATACAAACACTTTCAAGAATGCTTGGATAACTATGAGGATAAAGAATCTTGCTTTAGAAATATGCCTGTGTTAATTGAAAGGGCTTCATTTTATATGTTAAATCTATATAAGGAAGAATTGTTAGAATTTCTCCTCAATGAGACAGAATATCAAATGTTTTATATTTTAATTTTGATTCAAAGGAAAGTGAATATTTTTAATGATGTACTTTTATTTTTATTCCATAAAAAAAGCTCTCTACTCAAAAGACTCAATTGCTTTGAATTTTTAATTAAGGAGAGTAGCAAGATAGAATTAAAGGAATTAAAAGGATCATTTAAAGTATTTTTAGAAAAGTATAATAGAAAATATTTTAACAATGATATTTTAGAGATAAAAATAAAGCAATGGATTGTTGTTTTATCCGATTGTTTTTGTGTTGAAGTGGATGAATTGTTGGAATATTTTAATGTTAGTAAAGAAATATTCTAAAAATTTTTTTAATTTTCTAAAATTATTTATTTCAGTTGGTATTTTAATTTATATTTTTCTAAATTTAATATTATTAATTCTAAATCAAAGAATAGCAAGCAGTCAATTAACACTGAATCACAATTATCATCATTTGCTTTATTTTTATATAATTTAGTATTTTTAATTGTCAGATTATTATCATTTTTATTTTTACCTGTTTGTTTATTAACAGCATCTCTAATCTCAATTAACTTTGATAAGTTACCTGTCCTAAATGGAAAGCAACTGTTTCTCATAGCAATATCAATTAAAATTTGTAGCGGAAAATATTTTAGAAATTCTTTTATTGTTAGCCAAATATCAACAGGTACATCACACAAAGTACAACATTTGCTTACTGTCTTTTTAAATTCTTTTTCCCTTATATTTTTGCCTTTTTCCAATTTATCAATCAGTAAAAATATTTTCTCCAGGTGTTTTGGGTTATGACAAAATAACATTCTATTTGATTTAGTATCATCTATTTTAATATTAAAAATATTATTAATGAATATGATTAGTAACATGGATGATGGTAAATTATTATCTTTTGTAAAGCTTTAAGATAATTCTTAGATTCATTTTTTAATTTAACATTTAATATTTTATAAAAATTTATAATTGTTCACATTTTAATACTTAAACAAATGAATTCATTTAAAAATAACATTAAATCAAAGATAACAAATGAATAAAATAATTAATTCATAATTTAAAACATAAAAAATATATTAAAAATTTTATTGAGGAGTTCTTAAAAGTAATTTAATAAATTATATACTTCTCTAAAAATGTAATAAATAGTAAAAGATTAAAGAATCTCAATACATATCATTCCAAAATATTTTTTCAGGATGATAAAAAAACTTAATAAACCTAAATAGCGGGATAAATTTGGCAATCAAATATTTAAAAAATGAACCAAGGATATAATATTTTCTTAAAAAGAAATCAAAAATTGTTTCAGTTAGAAAATATAATTGATGCTGGTTAATGTTTAAGAAGAAACTTTACTATTTTTTATAGGAAGTCCCTAAGAAGATTTGTTTTTAATAATTATATCTTAGGTTAAATTGCTAATATATTTCTGATGAAATTTACTAATTTTTCTTAATTTGTTAAATAACAAAAATATAAATTTATAAACATAAAAGAATATATCAGTATAAACATCCTATACTTAAGGAAAAAATAATATTTAAAATTAACAAAATAACTAATGCTAAAAATTTCCTTTGATTGGAAGGTTTAATTGCTTTTCATTTGTATATACTTTGAATAGATATAATTTATTCTCACTTTTTTTGAACTGAGTCATAAAATTCAAGATTTATTTATTTTTATAACTATAATACACATTTATAATAATTATTAAATTTATAATCAATCTAATATTCTAGTTATAGATAAATGATATTTTTTAGAAATATTACAACTTGTTTAAAATGATCCCGTGAAGCACCTTCCCCCTAGAAGCTAAAAAACACAAAATTAGAATTAATTGTAAAATATCCATTATGTGATGGAATATTACCCGTTAATTTTTGCTTTTAAATATTTTAAGAATAGCTTTTTAAGAAATTGAAAATGAAATTTATGATATTAAGAAGTGGTTTATGTTAATGATCGAAAATATTAGAGATAATACAAAATATTGAAGTTTATACTAGAAAAAATAATATTTATAGACCAAATTAATAAAATTCTGCACTTTTCTACAGTTCAATTGAACTACTTTAATGAAAAATATCTATGCAATATCAAAGTAATTTTTACTTGAATTCTTTGGAAAATCTTATAAGATTGCTAAAACTAATATTATTTTTGTTAGCTCTTATGTGAAAAGACCTTAATATCTTCTCTTATATTCAAAACTATTTTTATAAAAATAAATAGTTTTGATTCTCTATAAATATGAATCGGATTTGATACTTATAAGGTTTTATTTATTAAATTTAATTTTCCTACAAGACTAAATATTGTTTAAGAAATGAAATCTAAATATTGTTTAAGATATTAAATTTACATGAATAATTTGTAAAATTACGACATAAGTATTTATTTTTTGTTAAATGAAGAAAACTTATATTGGTTAAATAATCATAAAAGAAAAAGTAGGAATGTCTTAGGTTTATATTATAGATCTTTGTTTGGTGCTATGCCTTAAAAGGTTATAATTATATCAAAACGAGCCTGACGGGATTTGAACCCGCAATCTCCTGATCCGTAGTCAGACGCCTTAGCCGTTGGGCCACAGACCCTTCAAAATTAATTAAATGTCAGACATAAAATTTTTGGTTTTACTCAAATTCCTCCAACCTTTTTTCAACAAATTCTTCTAGCCTTAAAAAGTATCGCCATCTATTCAGATAATCTTTTTTAAAATAATTAAATTTGCATTCTTTTATTTTATCCTCAATTTTTAATTTCAAAACAAGTAATTCTTTATGGTCTGCTTGATCTATTTTATCTTCTAATTCAATTACCTCATTTAGAAACTCTGTACTTACTTTATCATTAATAGTTTTAGAGTTATTTAAATTGTAAAGTACATTTGCTCTTTTGTAGTCATTTTTTAGTGTTGAATAAGCTTCATTTAATAGTGCCGGGTCTTTAGATGATTTGGATAAATCAAAGTAATTTTTTTCTAGTTGTATTTTACATATATCAAATTGTTTTTGTAAACCTAAGATTGAAAAGTAGTCCTTTTCTAACATCTCTAATATATTTTAAAATTTTAAATATTTAATAACATTTTTAATTTTGATTGGTTGAATTAATGTCTATTGAAAAGAAATTTATAACTTGTATCGTAATTCTACCAAACTTAAATACCTGTCACCATTAAATTTATATTTATTTAATATGTTAAATAAAGCAATAAAAGTTAAAAATGATATTAAAGTCAATAAAAAAATATTCAAGTCATGTTTATTATAAAAATGCTATGTGTACAAGAAATATTCTAATTACGGATTAAATTTTTACGAAATTATTGCCATAAAATATCACTAAAACAAAATTTGATTATTAGTTTTACGCCTGTGAAGATTTTAAGAAATAGATTATTAAATAAAGATATTTTAATTCCTTTAATAAAAAAATTCTTTTAGGAAAATATCTAATTATTCATTTTTAAAATAATTTATAATTCTACATTTAGCTGTTTAATTTGAAGATATTATTTTACAAATATTATTCTCAATTTTATCAGTTTTAAATAAAATATGGTTTATAAATTTATATTTTAGATATCTTTCTACATTAAATTTTTATACAAAAAATAAATATTAAATTAATAAATATTATTGTTATATTTTTTGATTTATGATTGGTTTATTATATTTAATAGATTTAATCAGTTTTTATTTAAACAAATAAATTAAACCTTATGGAGAATAAATATGTCCTAGCATTCATTTACATTGTATCATTAATTTCTTTAATATTGTATTCTTATGGAGAAAAGCTTTTCAATTACTTTGTTAATCAAATAAAATATTCCTTACTAAAACATGTCTTCAATAGAATGGTAAAAGAAGCAAAGTTAGAGGAAGAAGGTAAAAAGTACTTTAAAATATTAAGAAAAATGATTTTATACTGTGAATATTTTGATTATAATTTATTGATGAAGTTAATGAATGAAGGATATTCAAAACATAATTGTAAACTGGTTGAAGAATTATGGGGTACAATCACAATTGTTAGGAAGGAGTACTTTTTGTTTTATTCCAACATGTTTAATATTGGAATATTTTTACCGGTTTTTATGCCAGTTCTCATGCACTTCTACAAAACACTAATTAAAAAATAATTCTTATATGCCCTTTAATGCAATTAATGCCACCTTAGCTTAGTGGTAAAGCGCTAGTCTTGTAAACTAGAGAGCATGGGTTCGATCCCCATAGGTGGCTTTTTGCTAAAAGCCTTTATTTGGTTTGTTTAACATATTTAAAATATATTTTAAATTTTTGTCAAAAAATTACAATATAAATATCATTTATTAAATATATCTCCTCTTAAACAATAAGTATGCATACAATATCTTTCTAAATCTTTATTTATAATAAAATTATTAAATATAAAGTTTTGTTTAACATTCATGTTTATTTAATAATAGAAATTTTAAATGAATAAAAATTTTATTTTTGTATTAATTCATTAAGTAATTATTAATAAATCAATCAATCAATCATTTAATAATTAAAAAACAATTATAAAACACAAAAGTATCAGTTTATTTATCATTTAAAAATAAAAATAAATTAAAAACATGCCCTACAAGACTAGAATGGAATTTGATGGAGAATGTTACAAGCATGAACAATATATCCCTGTACTTGATAGAAGCCCAGACGGATCATCAACTGTTTTAGAAATATTGTTTAATAGGTATAAAAAAAAGAAAGATGGTAAAATATATGGTACAATCATTGAAGGAGAAATACTTTGGAGAACTACACAAGAAGTATTAATTGATCTTTTTAAGATAAGAAAATATTTGGCAAAGATTATAAACCCCCAAGAGATACTTGGTATTTATGCCATTAACAGATATGAATGGATACTTTCTGAGCATGTAATACATAGTTTGGGATGTATTTCCTCTCCCCTATATTCAACCTTTGGTGTTACTGCTGTTAAACATGTTTTGGATCAAACAGAAATGAAGACGTGTTTTTTAAGTGGAGAAAAAGCTGATTCATTATTTAATGACATCTTAAAGGATTCTAATACATTTCTTAAAAATTTAATTCTTTTTGATTCCTTCGAGAAACAAAAGGAAGTGGAGAAACTTGGAATCAACGTTCATTATTTACAAGATATACTTGACTCTGAGCATGTAGAACCAGAAGAACTTAGTGAGTTAATTGATGAAATTTATAATTGGGAACATTATCCTGGAAATGATGATATTGCCACAATTTGCTACACATCTGGTACAACTGGCTTGCCTAAAGGAGTTATTTTAACAAATAAGAATTTCATATCAACTATATCAGCATTCCAAAGATATACTGCTAAATATTCCTATTATAAATTATCAGAAACTGATGTTTTAATTTCTTATCTTCCTTTAACTCATATTTTTGAAAGAATTGTTTTTTTAACAGCAATCTCTTTAGGAGGTAAAGTTGTATTTTACAGGGGAAATATTAAAGAGCTTGGAAATGATTATAAAATTATACAACCTACTTTTGTAGCAGGTGTTCCCAGGGTATTTAATGTATTTAAAGATAAAATTATGGAAGAAGTTGGCAAAAAGGGGTACTTTACTCAATGGTTGTTTAAAAGAGCTCTACAATGGAAATATTTCTGGCAAAGATTTGGATACTATACTTCTTTCCTTGATTCTATTATTTTTAATAAAGTTAAGAAACAATTTGGTGGTAAAATAAGAGCTATGTTATCAGGCGCAGCACCAATTTCTACAGATACCGTTAAATTTTTACAAGCCTGTTTTTCTTGTAAGATATTCCAGGGCTATGGTCAGACAGAAACTACTGCTGCTTGTATTGTTGCACCCATGGAAGAAACGACTGTTGATACGGTAGGAATACCTTTCCCACAAAATTTAATTAAGTTAGCACCAATCGGAGATAATAAATGTGAAATTTGGGTTAAAGGAGAAAATGTATTTAAAGGATACTATAAAAATGAAGAGGCTACTAAAGAATGTTTTGAGGACGGTTGGTTTAAGACAGGTGATATTGGTGAGGTTAAGAGTAACTTATTTAAGATAGTAGGAAGAAACAAAGAAATATTCAAAACAAGCCAAGGGGAATACATAGTACCAGAAAAGGTAGAAAATATATACATGAATTCACTTATTGAAGATATTTTTATTGTAGGAAGATCTACAGAAGATTATATTGTTGCTATAGTAGTTTGCACTTCTAATGCATCCTCTGATTCTGTAATAAAGAAGATTTTAGATATTGGAAATAAAGCAGTCTATGATAAAAAAATACCAAGGTATGAAATTCCTAGGAGGGTTTTAGTAAGGAGAACTCCTTTTACTGACTTTGGAGAAGTAATTACACCTACAGGTAAGAAGAAGAGAAATTTTTTAGAAAAGTGTCTTAAGAAAGAAATTGATGAATTATATTCAAAAAATAATTAAATTCTTTATTAGTTGTTGAATTATTTACATTTTTTTCATCAGATGATGTTATTTTTATATATCAAAAAGATTACTTCTTTTATTTAACTAGATTTAACCATATCTTATTTTTTGAACAAAAAACAATATAAAGAATAAAAAAATAGCCCTAAAAGTAAAAATATATTAAGCAAAAAGAGATACTAATAAAATTAAGGTGGAAATAAAATATATTATTTAAAGATCATCTTATTTTTTATTTTTAATATGGAGCAATAAATATAAATTATTCTTTTACCAGTTTCTTACACTTGTATTGACTCTGACTGCAACCCAATTTCATTCAATAGCATTTCTATGTATTCTAATTATTGTATTTTTGAATTTTTAAAATCAATTTGCGAAAATGTATTTTCTAAAATGCAAATATAAATCATTGCTCTTCTATAATATGAATAGATTGTAGGATTTTCATTGCTATCATTTCATTAGAAGTATTAAGACTTCGAATTTCCTATTATAAGTTTAAATACAAAGAATTTTTGTAAGGAGCGTATCTTATAAATCCTAAAACTCATGCCTCTTTTACTTTTTGACTACCGTAATTGATAAATATCCAGCATAGGATATACTTTATTGAAATAATTTTTATTATATTTAATATTCCTTCGGAAAGTACTTTCATTTAGAGAATTTTTCCTATGATTAAATTGGTTGAATTAATTTTCTTTATAAAATTGTTTATAGAACCCCTATTTTTGGCAATATTTTCTTGTGTCAAGCTTAAATTCACAGCTCAAACATAAATGGACTCTCACCTATTGGAACAAAAGAAGAATATAACTTTCAAATTACTATTTCCAAACTTTTCTTATTATTTTAATAACATAATCTTGTTTAGTTTAGTTTCCTAATATATGTGCTTGGATATGACGTTCCTTAAGCCATTAATTCTAATCGCATTAAAAAAGCAGATGATTTAGCTAGACTTTTTAAAATATCAAATTGGTAGAAAAATTCAAATCATCATCTACTCAAAGTGTAGCAAAAAATTGAATGCTATTTTTAATAATTTTGATGCAACAATCGTGCTTTCTGTATTATGTTTGTTTTAATCTATAAAAAATATTGCCAAACTCTTGGCATTTTAAAAGATATAAAATTAACCTTTAATTTATTAAATTATCAATGTTATCATTTTTCATGAGTTGGGTTCGTTGACGGCATCCTGGTTGTTGGCTTGCTCTTCTTTCATCATGATGTTTGTTGTTCTGGAGCCGCATGATGGGTTAGCAAAAAAATTGTTTAAATAGTTTAGTTTTTCTAGAAAAACTTCCTTATCTGTATTAATAATTTATTTTTATTATATGTAAAATTAGAATGTAGTGCACTACAATGTAGATAAATTAAGTTCTCATATATTTTTATATTTTCACTTATATGGGATATTTTCTTATCTTTTATAGTTTTTTGGTTGAGTTTGATTTCATAAAAAATTATATTTATAATAATAAAAAATAGCTATCGAAATTCTGATTCTATGTATGCCAAACAACAATTTATATGGGCGCGATATCTTTTTCAGAAACTTTTTATGCATGATATAGTTGAACATTTTTTTATTTCCTTTACTGATCTAGTTATCCAGATCAAAATGGGTGAGAAAAATACCTTAAAATATAAATATCGAGAAAATCAAATTATAATGCAGTTCCGCAATATTTTAAATTATATATTGTAGTGCAAAAGATGCTTTGAATAATATTTAATTTATTTAATATTTTTAATATTATTTATTTATATATTATTTGATACCCATCATCATGGGAGGATTGAATAAAGGTAATTTTACTAAAATTGTATTTAAAAGTAAACTATCAAATGTTTACAAGGCACGCTCCCGGTGTCTTGTAGACTTGTTTCTCAGCTGTGGCGGCAACCTGGAGAAACACTGCATGTATGTTAAAAGTTTCTATTTTCTGCACTTATGATCTATTAAAATCGCATGAAGATACCACAACCAATTTTAAAACCAAACGATATCTTTTAGGTTTAAATTTAAAGTTCTTATGTATGATGTTAGCAGATAATATCTTTAATGTTAAAAGAAATAAAATTGAATTTGATCCTTTAATCATAGTTGACCACCCATTTTTAATGTTTGGGAAGCAAACTTTTTAAAAACTATTTATAGTATTTTAATTTACTTCAAAGCAAGTATTTATCATGGTATGTTTAAAAGCTATTTATATATAAAAATATTTTAAAAGAATTTTAATTGCAATAAAAGCTTTAGAGATCCTTTTTTATTGATATAAAATAGTAAAAATCAAAAATATTTTTCTAAACACACCTTATGAATGATGAGTTCATTTAAAAAATTGATTTAACAACCTAATAATGCTAAAATCTTTTTTATTTAAAAAATTGAAATAATTTAATACCGTATAATTAAAGATTCATACGTATAAAGATAATATCTTTAAACAAAAATTTAATTCTTTGTTATTTAAATCCTTTTTTACGTCATTTAATTTGATTTTTAATGCAAATTTTATTAGGAAAATTCCTTTAAACCTGAGTTGTAATATATTTGATCAAGAGTATTAGAAATCAAGTATAAAAATATTTTTAAAACTAAAAATATTTCTCTTATCATGACAAACCTAATTAATATTTTACTTACCTTTTAAAAAATCTGTGATAAACAGTACATATAGAAATATAATAGACTAAAATAGAAAATATGCAGCAACTAGATAATGTTTTTAAAGCATGATTCTCATCCTTATTAAAGAATGATAAAAATAG